CCCCAAAACCCCAAAACCCCAAAACCCCAAAACCCCTCTCAACCAGTTTCTCCAAAACATTAAACCCTCATATTTATCCATTAATCCCTCACAATAGCACTCTTGATCATCCCCTTAATCCTTTTCTTGCTCTCATCTAGGCTCTCTTCCTTCTGAATTTTCTTGGGAAGTAATTTTGAGTGTGGCTCTGGACTCTTTCAGTGATTTTCACAGCTAAATTTAAGTGAATTAGATGTGAAAATTGCATGGATAAATGAGGAATTTTAACGATGAGCTTTCGGCAAAAAAAGCCATTTTATACTTGCTCATTGGTATCTTAATGGTTTGGTATATACAGGCGTAAATTAGCTAATCAAAGCTGATCAGGTATTTCAAGAGGGATGGTAAAGGTCAATCCTGATAGCCATAGCTTGAACTAAAAATTTATCTCAGCTTTAAGTCCGATGCTTAATAAAACCCAGAGGTACCTTTTAGCCTCGATTTTCAGCAACTTATTGTTCCCATAAATTGACTTAAGTTTGTTTTGCTCATCTTTAAGGGAAGTCTTTCCTCCGGAAGTCAGATCTTTACTGGATAATTTCCCTTGAGGTCTATATCAATGATTAAGGCCAGGATTCCCAATGGTGAGGGAGCAAAAGTCCTTTAAAATGTCAGCAACTCTTCTCTAAAGACTTCCTCTAGAGTTTGGTTATGAAATGTGGAAATCTAACATGATAAAAACCTGCATGAATTTTTTCAACTTCTCCAAACCCTTACTTTTGCTTTAACTTATCCACACTCTTTTGGCCTGGAGATTTTGGATAGGAAAACATAGTATTCCTTGAAGTCTTTGAACTCTTATTTGTCTTCTTCAGAGCTGGGAGAATACTCTTTGAAGACGAATGGTCATTAAGGAAATTATTTTCTTGAAACACCACATTAGCTATGGCACTAGCCCTTGGTTTTGCAGAAGGGCCACCAGAAGACCACATTGCGGTTCTTTCCTTTTCAAGTAACCTCTCTTTTACTTCTTTCTCGCTACTTGTTACAGAGAATTCATCAAGTATTGATCGAGGTGTTGTTGAATTCTGATATCTTAAGGTCTTACTGCTAAATCTATTTTGAGAAACAGCATTTGCAGCATAAAACTTAGATTTTGTAGTCTCAAACTTAGTTTGGACAGCCTTTGATTTCATAACACAAAAATCAGTCTGTAATTTCTTATTATGTTCATCAATTTCTTCAGTAAAATCACTATTTCCTTCAAAGGCTTCTGTATTTGTCTCAAGGCTGTTTTTGCGATGACTCATGGATGTTTCAGATGCCTAAAAATTATTCTCCAAAACCTACCCTGCTTCAAGCGAGTTTCTGAATGATTTCTCTTCCCTTAACAACCTGAAGCTCACCCTTGATACCTTCCTTTTCAAGGTATAGTTCAAGCCGTTTCTCAGAAATCTGGATAATTTGGTCATTATTTTATCTTAACTTCACTTTTGAGACTCTCATTTTCCTTATAAAGTTGATCCATATGGGCATTTATCACATTGTGCTTCTTCTTATAGCCCTCAAGCTCTTCATTTGTTCTCCTCAGTTTATCCTTGTACAGCTTCAGATGACCTTTGAAGCTTTGGAGGATCCTATTATTTTCCTTATTCTCCTCATAGAACTTGGCTGCTCGCATGAAAACATCCTCATGCTCCATGGATGCACGGTTATACCAGCTGTCCCTCTCAGCCATGATCTTCCGATGCTCTTTCTTAAGTCGAGTGATATATTCTCTGTGGTTATCAGCCATATTATCAATAGTATCCGCACTAGACTGGCCCTTAATGCGTAACTTCTCATTTTCTTTAATGGCTTCATTATATTTCACCTCTTTCTCTTTGGAGAGTTTCAAGGCAATCTTATGCGATTTGTCCAGTTCCTTGATATCTGAGGCCAAGCGGTTCCTTTCGGCCTCTAGGTCCTTAATCTTTACCTTAGAATCATTGAGCAAAGATAAGGTTTTAATATGAGTTTGGTACTCTTCTTCATATCTTTTGACCCAACCTATCTTCTCGTGGTTATGGCGAACTCTCAGCTCGATTGCGTTCTTAAGTTTGTCCTCTGCCACATCCTTTTCAATCTCGATCTTCCTGAGTTCCTTATTCTTGATGATTTCTGCATTCTCGAATTCAAGCTCTAGTTGTGAAAATCTTGCTTTTATTTTATCTAAAATTTAGCTAGTAGACGTACTGTAGTTGACTTTCTCGAGCTCGAGCTTTTCATTAGAAGATGCGAGATCCTTTTCAAATTCAGTGGCTAACCTCTCACTGCGGACAGCATCCTCGTACAATTTCTTCCTCTCTGAGTTGACCTTCTTAAGAGTTCTGGTCAAGGCTTTATAGTTCTTGCTGAGTTCTTCATAAATCTGATCTTGATGAGCTGATTTACCCTGTAAAACTTCGTATTTATCCCTCAAAGCTGAGTGATCTTCGGTGACTTTGTCAACCTTATCAAGTAAATCGATGTTCTTCGAGGTGTATTCCTCCTGCCGGCCTTTTATAGTGTGGAAGTCTCTCTCAAATTTCTGTTTATCCTTCCTAGCTTGATCGATCTGAGTCTCAAGGCTCTCTATCCTATCTTCATAAGTCTTTGCTTGTGCAGACTTCTTGTCATATTTTTGAGTGAGCTCATCAAGGTCTTCGGCAAGTTTCTGTGTCTTCATCTGATCAATACTTAATTTCAAGCTGGTATCTTTCAACTGCTTAATGGTTGAGGCAAGTTTATTTCTTCGTATTCTGACAGTCTTCATCAAGTTGGAAAATTCTTGTATCTTTCTGCCTCAAGACCCTGTTGAGACTGATGTTTTCATTTGAAAGTAGGCTACATTTATTCTCAAGGTTGATTAGATTCGTCTCTAGCATGACTTTTTCCTTACTAAGCTCTATAGTTTCTCCCTCAAATCTTTTGAGTTCCTTATCGACAAACTCGAACTTCTGCATGTACTCATCGATCTCTTCAAGGGCACGATAGTACTTGACATCATGATCTCGGCCAACAGAATGAAGTTCGTTAAGTTTTGCTTCGAATTGCTTTCTTATATTAATCTCTTCCTCGTTCCTTCTCCTGAGGTCCTCGATGTATTCATTAAGCTTCTCAATGTGAATAACGTACATATCAGTCTTCTTCTCAGCAGCTTCAGTTCTTGACTTGAGTTCGTCACATTTTTCAATAATTTTAGCTTCTTTTTCAAAGAATTCTATTTGCAATTGCTCTAGTTTGCTCCTCAGCTCAATATTTTCCTGCTGAGATAGCCTTGTTATCTCTGAGATCATTAGTTCATAATCAGTTTTACAGCAGAACTCAAGGAGGATGGCGTAGACTCTCCAAATTGTTGCCATTAAATGGGTTCGAGAGTTTGACTCAACAGCTAATTTCTTAAGAAGTTCGAAGAACCCTACACTGTACACAAAAAGACCTCTGTAGACTCTGTTCACAAGAGTCGAATTCAGCCCATGTTTGAGCAAGCTTTGCCTATCAATTCCGTACTGGTTGATAGGCTTTTTCTTATCATTCTTAAGGAATCAGCTCTTGAGGCCTAAATCTTTGGCCTCTTGAAGAATATCGTTCAACCATACCTCCATGACTTTTGGGTTAATGGTCATTGAAGAGGTGTCTAGATTCATTAAGAGCAAAATCTTACCAGGAGGTTCTCCAGTCTCTTCAATGCTATTGATAAAGCTATTCTTCTTATTGCCAGGGCCTGACTTAGATGACTTTTTGGATGTGTCAAGCGTGAAAGAGTTCAAGTTATTCATCAACATCATTGCACTACTGGTATTCCTAAAAATAACAGTATGATTTACATCTTATTCTGAAATTTAAGTTTCGAATCTTCATTCTCCTTTCTATTTGTCTGTTGAGGAGACATCACAGAGGATGATTGACCATGCACATGGAAAGATTCTGCAGTAGTATCACTGAAGAGCCTATTTTGAGTAGTTAGACTGCTTCTCTCTATCCCAGGGCTATAAGGACCCTTGAATTTAACATTAAACAGGCGATGTTATCCGAATTGAGTCTTTTCCACTTAGAAGTCCCTTTCTGTCCCCTCCTAGACCTCTGTCATCCTTTTTCCGTTCCTATAATTAATGTTGAGATGACTTTTCCTTACCACTGACAATGAATTTCTTGTATTTTCTTGTAATGACTCAACTGTATTAATATTCATGCTTATAAATATTATTTTATTTTGAGTAAAATCTAGAGGGGTTTTGGGGTTTTGGGGTTTTGGGGTTTTGGGG